TAATGAAGAAAAACTTTAATATAAGTTTTTCTTCATTACCCATTCAAGCCGTCTCCAGCCATTATTAACAATCTAGATATGTTCCAGATGCATGTGTACATATCAATCAAAAAGTCACTGATCCCATCCTCCACCCCAGATAATCAAACAAGATCAGTGAAGAAATGATCATGCCTGCAAGGGACATACATAATTAAAAGTAAGCATTACCTGCACTATTTTCATAATGGCAGGAATGAGTAACCAAGTTTTACAAAACTAGAGAAAATGGCAACTGTATTGTACAATACAGACATTCCAAAATAATGAACATCAATCAACTTTTAAATGGGCAACAATGAGTTACAAAGAACAGGAACAAGAAAAAAGTGATACAATATATCTAATATTCCTAATAGATTACATGTAGTTTCAGTACGATTACACACTACAGATAGCACAGTCATATTGTTTATACCAGGGGTCTTTTTTCTTATACCTTTAAACAAAGATGTAAGTGTAAAAGCCTCAGATGTACAAGCTTCTGTCAACAACCTTTCAAATCTATTGAAAGCCAGCCATGAGTAAGCTTATACATATTTTAAATTATAAATGTCTTCCCTCTCTCTACAAGGCAATAAGGAGTACATTACTCCAAACCACTTGAATCTAGATGAACAGACCAAAACAAGGCAATGAGGAGTTTAACACATTTTATTCCCAAGAAAAATTATTCAAGAAACAGCATAACTTCCTGAAAAGATATAAGCCTAAACGTTGATAATAGTAAAATATTCATCAAATTAGTCACTTTTTGTGCACATATTCAAAAAAGGATAATATTCAGAATATTGCAGTTAGCAGTACAAATGCTTAAAAAAAACACTTTTAATCCTTAAGAAGGGAAAAACAAAATTCTTTATACAATTTTCTCAAAAAATTGATTAAATGAATTCAAATAATATATTCACGGTATTACTTCTTTCATCAAATATATTACTTCAAACATACCTTCACTATACTTTGAAGACAGGGCAGAACTGGAGTACCACAACCATCTGCAGTGGTAAAAAGTAAACAAAATAAAAAAATCAGACTCTTAGTATGTTGTTTTTAGATCATAAGAAACATTTCTGCTATATAATAAAGAAAATAAATTATTATTTATAACCTCAGCTCTACTTAGCATTTCATGTTCTCTCTCTCTTTTTAGAAATTTAGTTTTTAATAATTTTTTAAAACCAATTAAATTTTCACTTTTAATAATAACTTGAGAACCCCAACAATAGTCACATTAGACATACAAAGCACACATTTATATCACATCTTGATTTAAGCAGCTTGAATTCAGTAATAATATACAAGACCTTGTGGCTTATAACAGAGCTTTCCCACTAACCTAATTCTAGTATTTATCTTTTATTGGTACAATCAGCAACAATGCCAAGAAGCTTAACCTCTTTATGATATAAAATAATAAAATCATTTACTTAGTTCAATTATCTAAGTGTTCTTTGCATATGACATTCATGGAATATAATAAATTGTGTCTCAATTCAGTGTGTTGAGAACAGTGTTTTCATTAGAAACACAACATAACTCTAAGTAATGGCCTTCTGAACATACAGGGTAACCCAGCAAGATTTTGGATGGAAAGAATATAATACACTAAAGTTTTTGAAGAACTATATCTCATTTTGTTTTTGGTGAAATACAGATAGGATGGTTTCCTGTCTAATGATAGAGGAAAGGAAGAAAGTGGTGGCTTGGATGGAAGTTCATGGAGTGTTTGTTTCAAGAGATGTTTGGATGTTCTCCCTATCAGCAGCAAACAATTTCCAAATAACAAAAAAAGTTCAGTGAAACCAGTCTAATCGAATAGCATCCAGAAAGGCTCAATGTCCTGCCACTCCAAATAAAATGTGCCACAAGTGCATAATGTCCTGCTGAACAGCCCATTCAAAGAGCAAGTCTGGAATTGAAATTACCCTATGAACAGTTTCCCAGATTTTTCATGATGATCTAAACATTAGAACTTACCATATTCAGATTCTGAATCAACTTAAGGACACACATTTCCAGAAATGGGTGAAACAATATTTAAACTGTGTAGTCATATTAACAAATGTAACCATACGACACAGAGATCACAATGACCAGTTCCTGAGTATAAATGTACATGGGATTCCCCCAAAATTAATGTGGTGCACATTGCCAAACAACTAGTGGGGCCATTCTTCTTCTCAAAAGATACTGTCAATAGAGGATTTGTGACACTGTTGAAGAAGTTTTCTATTCCAAGTCTACAGTAACTAGGGATACCTGTCGGTAAGGTTCATTTCCAGAAGGACACACTGGTTAAGGCATTATATAAATAGTTAACTGACATGCTTGCATGCTGAGTAGGCAGAGATAGCTCAATAAAGTGGCCTTCTCATTCACCAGGTTTAACCCCATTGGGCTTTTTCCCATTGGGTTCAAATAAAAAACAGAATGTAGTCCAAAAAACCATGGACTATCGACGAACTCAAGGACAGAATTATCCTGTGCTGCAGACACATAACCCCCGAGATCTTGAAGAGAGTGTACCATGGAACATTTACCATATTTGAGAAGTGCAATGAAGTAGCTGGCAGATATGCAGAAGCTTAAAACTAATATTGTTAAAAGCCAGGTATTCTAACTGATATTGTTGCAAACCAATTTATCTATATCAATATTTTATATTTGTGTTGTTACTGTATTATATTCTTTCCATAACAAATCAGTGAGGTATCTCTCATTAGATCACCATGTACTTTCTGTATATGACAAATTATATAAAATTTAATTGCATAAAACTCAGACATAACATTAAGGTTATAAAAAAAAAACAACTAAATTCCTAAATACAAACTACTTACTAGCTCTCATATTACAAAAGTTTTGTTGTAAATCAAATAACAATGTATTTTAAAGGCTTGAATCAAACTAAAATATGTATTACTTTTAGTTTTCTTTGGAAAACTAATAGAAATTAAATAAACTAAGTCTGCACAAATAATGTACACAGCATGACAAACTCTAACCCTTTCGCATCAGGTAGGTCAAAGTGTGCATGTCACAACCTTTTATAGTTGCATTCAAAATTTAATTAAACAACATTATGATTACTGTATATGAATAAACTTGGCATCAAAACATAGCTTAATTTGATAAGGAAATATATTAAAAGTTAAAATTTTTCTTACATTAAAAATGTATTTCCTTGTCTCAAACAAAGTTATCTCGATCTTCCTTCTGCTCTCTAAGCATTGCTAAAAAATTTTCATGTTCAGCACACCAGTCTATATATACTCCATCAGCTTAGCATAAATATTGAAAATGTACATGTAAAAGGAAATTAAACTGATATGGGCAGGAAAAAAAGAATATGCACAAGATCAATTTGGTTTGAGAGGTGCAATCTGTAGTAAAATATAAATGAAATGAGCAATAGATACCCAACTTCAACTGGACAAAGTTCCATAACTCATCCTTGAAACAAATATAGTGTAACATAAACATAGTAGCTAGGGCATGTGGATTGTGTTACATATACTCACCAGCACCAAACGTGAGTTAACTGGAATTACGATGAGGAAGTGAGCATACTGCTAAATCCAGATAAACTCCTAAAACCACCATAGGAGCAAGAAAAACAACAAACCGAACCTAGCATTATGGGGTCATGGTGTTGCCTGAACTCAACCTTAAGAACAGGGCAAGATCTGTAACTGATATTACATCTTGCACACAGAATTACAAGGAGGACATGTAACATTTGCTCAACCACAGAAACAGTGTACGTACATCCTATAGCAAGTATTATGAGCAGACGAAGTCCCCCAAACTCAACCATAGGAACAGGGTGGTATCATCCCAAATCCAGTCTTATAAGAAGGATTTCACATTGGTTGGTCCTGCTCCAACCAACACCTGTACACCTGGAAAAGAGCATCCACGATAAAATGTAAGGAGGAAAACCAGCTTTGCCCTCTTGTCACTGAATGCATAAGCATGAGTATGTATGGTAATGTAAAATTCTACAACACACTCAGAAAGAAGCGATTGGGAAGTGGGAAGGACTTCCCTGCTCCCCTGAAAGGAAAATGGTGGGAAGTAAATGTGATGGGGAGTCTGGAGGAATGTCACACCAGAAAAAGTGCTATGGATGTCCACAATTCCCTATTTTGAAAAGCAGACCAACCCTTATTTATTCAATCAAAGGATCAACAGCGATGGGCAGATATCACCCTCTGCTTTACTCATGAAATCCACGAGTAACGATCCACCACTTAGTT